CATCTCGCGCCTCCGTATCCATGACGACCGATCCATTTGTCCCATTGGTCAGAAAGTGATCGTCAGGAGCCAGTCGCTCTGAGACGCTCCCGATCATTATGCTAATCACTGCAAAGGTTCCTGGAACATTTAAAGGGGTCGTATGATGTTGCTAAAAAGGTTGACTCTTAAATTTTATAAATAATATCTCTTTGGATTTGAGACTTTAGTCTTTGCAACTTTACAGATCTTCTTTATGCACCAAGAGCTTGTAACACACCAAAGAGAAAAGAAAAATTGAAATCGCATCATATGACCCCTTTAAGGAACGCAAATCAGTTTTCATACTGTGTAGGCTATGTATGACAATGACGATTATACATGATAATGCAGGTAAAAATATTGCATACTGGTATAAAATATATTTTGATAAAAAAAAAAATATATATATATATATATATATAAAGTTTTTACATAATATATATTATTTTTCTTCCCTTACCTATGGAGACGTGTCTAGAAGTGCCAAAGATGAAGTATACCAGTACAGGATAGAAGGAGGTGTAAAGACCAAAAACAGGTGGCACAGAAGCCAGGAGAGCATAAGCCATACCTGAGTATCAACACCCACACACACACACACACGCTTATAATGTATCCCTTTGACTTCTCATTCACATCGGCTTTTATAATTTATTTAAAACATTGTTTAGACCGATTATCAGCTTTTTTGGGGTGGACATTCCGGCAATTGGGGTTTTTTCCCTATGTGTATTTCTTTTGTAACTTGCACTTGTAAACCGACCCTGAGGCAGATGCATGATTCCCACGCTGACACCTGAAACCAGGTCACCAAGTCCGTTCTCCCGAACAGAATACTGGGGGATCCAGGAGAGAAGCGGTATCCACTTTAAAATCCAAATCTTCCACTGTCCCACAGAACACCTTGAGCAGACAGTGAGAGAATAAAGAGCTTTATAGAATGTGTTTATAGAATATAACTTCATTTTAAAGCATCCTTAACATTACTGCCTGACTGCAACGATATCCACAAGATTAGAACAGCAAACACTACATTTTAGCTAATGAGATGCCAAGCTCATTTGTTTACAGTAGGCTATGCGTCCCTAAAAACATCAAAAAAGAGCTGTACTGTAATAAAGTATACACTGAAAAAAAAGGTAACCAGAAAAAGGTTACTTTTATTCAAGTGTGAAATATTATTTAACATCACTATAAGTACATGATATACACTGAACAAAATTATAAACGCAACACTTTTGTTTTTGCCCCCATTTTTCATGAGCTGAAGTCAAAGATCTAAGACTTTTTCTATGTACACAAAAGGCCTATTTCTCTCAAATATTGTTCACAAATCTGTCTAAATCTGTGTTAGTGAGCACTTCTCCTTTGTCGAGATAATCCATCCACCTCACAGGTGTGGCATATCAAGATGCTGATTAGACAGCATGATTATTGCACAGGTGTGCCTTAGGCTGGCCACAATAAAAGGCCACTCTAAAATGTGCATTTTTACTGTATTGGGGGGTCCGGGGGGGTCCGAAAACCAGTCAGTATCTGGTGTGACCACCATTTGCCTCACGCAGTGCAACACATCTCCTTCGCATAGAGTTGATCAGGTTGTTGATTGTGGCCTGTGGAATTTTGGTCCACTCCTCTTCAATGGCTGTGCGAAGTTGCTGGATATTGGCAGGATATTGGATTTTTTTGTAATTAAAAAATCTTAATTTGTAAGTAACACCAAGATCATGGGTTTGATTCTCATTATACACACATACAGTGTATACATACAATCCAATGTAAATTGCTTTGAGTAATCTGCAAGGTGCATGCCAGTATTTACCCATATTGCAACTGTTTGCAGTAGAACCAAATTTAGACAGATTTTGTCACACTGTCTTTGCATCTTACCTTACAGAGTCACAGATCTTCTCCTTTATAGAGGACCGCTGGATTTCAGTCTGCCGTTGGGCTACTTCATCTAGTTTAAGTTCATCCAGGATGATCCTCTCCACACAGACTGTTGCTCCGGCATGATCAGATACACCCATGTCTGTCCTGTTCATGTTCATATATGCTCCTCCCTGCTTAGGTTTAGGGGTTTCAGCAAACCACCTTAAACCCCTCCCAGGGGTTCACGTATGGATTGAGACTTTTTTTTCACAAAGTATATGTCTTTGAAGATTCTTCTTTTCACTGAGAGTAATGTTCAAGAGTTTTCAAGCAGAGATAACAGTCTGCTTAGGTTTAGGGGTTTCAGCAAACCACCTTAAACCCCTCCCAGGGGTTCACATATGGATTGAGACTTTTTTTCACAAACTATATGTCTTTGAAGATTCTTCTTTTCACTGAGAGTAATGTTCAAGAGTTTTCAAGCAGAGATAACAGACATGATGGAAGGAATCATCTATAGGTGCAGCCAAAGTCAGATTTCAATGTGCAGTTATGAGTGCAAACCAGAAATGTCCACATGAGAAAAGTTCTTGGGTCCTTATCAGAGTCTTCACAGGTCAATCCCACACCAAACCACACCCACAGCATGCAGTCCAATAAACATGAGCGTGCCAAATGGATCACGCATCTGTAAATTAACTCATGACACTTCACTGACTCAGAAACACACTGGCAAAAAGAGCGTTTTTCTTTCTTTTTTTATCACTTTGCTGACTTAAAACTTTTTGTCCAAAGCACATTTTGGACAATATCTGGACAATCTGTGCTAGACCAGGAATGTTGTTCAGAATAATGACAGTTTCAGTCTTTGTTATAAGCTGCTAAGTGATACATTTCACAGTGAACATGAAAGGCTGTCTTTTACCCAAGTGAAAGCCTATGCTATAATTAAAAACACTGTCTGGTGTGCTTTACATTTTGTCATCTGTTAGTTGACTTTTAGTAGTTTTATTTGCCAAGATGACCTCCACTAACATAATTTAAGAGTTGTGTTGTATGAACTTATGTATCAGTAAAGAGCGTTTTTCTTTCTTTTTTTATCACTTTGCTGACTTAAAACTTTTTGTCCAAAGCACATTTTGGATAATATCTGGACAATCTGTGCTAGACCAGGAATGTTGTTCAGAATAATGACAGTTTCAGTCTTTGTTATAAGCTGCTAAGTGATACATTTCACAGTGAACATGAAAGGCTATCTTTTACCCAAGTGAAAGCCTATGCTATAATTAAAAACACTGTCTGGTGTGCTTTACATTTTGTCATCTGTTAGTTGACTTTTAGTAGTTTTATTTGCCAACATGACCTCCACTAACATAATTTAAGAGTTGTGTTGTATGAACTTATGTATCAGTCAACAGCCAATGAGTATGGAACCAATTCACCAGACATGGTTATGTTAATACTTGATATTATTTTGGAAAAACATTAGCTGAATCTGACAGATGAATGGTAGAATTCCAAAATGTTGTCTGGTTTTAGTTCTACTAATTTTTGAGTCCATTTAATACAAATTACAAAATGCAGTTCATTTAACATGTAGCCTACCATCCTTTTGAGACAACATACCTCTAAAGCAAGGCAGAATTTCACATTATAAAGTAGTGTTTCTCAACGGGGGCCGCAGTAGGCCAGTGTAGTAGTGTTATTATTACACCAATACACCAGTAGTGTTATTATTACACCAATACTACCGCTTCTAGTCTATCATTTCCATAGCAATTACTCTTTTTTAGTGTTCGCTCGGCTTTTGTTGCGCAGCTGCTGAACTTCCCGTGAAACCAATATGCATTTAGACACAAAGCATGAGATGCTTTTACTTGTTTCACGAGCTCACCCTTACATATAATCTGATTGAGCAAATAGTAAGCATATTTTGGCGTACTGTCCTGGGGGAGGGCTCCGAGCCCGGAATATAGCCCGAACCCAGAGAGCTCCCCCTATCCTTAGTATGGGATGAGAATAGATCACCCCCGCCAGATTCCATTGGTAGGTTTAGGGTTAGGTGTGGGGGAGGGGTTAGGGTTAGGCAATCAGGTAACGATTTCAACAAGAGGGGGTAATAATTTAGCAGGGGTCAAAAATGGGCACAACACTGGAAAACTGTTGTAGGATAGAGGTAGGCTGTGTATATATATGCATTGTGCTAGTTAGGATGATTAGCCAAACGGGTTACACCTGTGCCAAATTGATTGATTATCTGATCGTGCTCCTCCCGAACCTTGTTAATAAAACTTAATTTAGAAAAATGTATACAAATGCTTTTTGTTTGCTGACTGACACATTTCTAAAGAGTTTATTCAAGGCTCATAAATATAGCCTAATTTATATTCACGTGGGGGGTTTTTTCTCCTTGGGAAACTTATGATAATATTTGAAGTCCAGTCAAATCAAATGTCATGAATGTCATGTGCCATTCAATGTTAGGTTGGGTTGGGTTAAAATACATGCTTTTAAGATATATATTATAAAGAAAATATATTAATATGTATATATATATATATATAAAATATAAAATAAAGAAGTACAGAACACAACACAATTCATGAAATAGCAAAAAGGAAGAATGTAAAAACATCAATCCTTTATTTTTGGACAACAGAAATGGCAATTAAAGATTTATTTAAATTTTTTTATAAATTGTATTTATACATTCGTATGTATATTTATGTTAACCACTGGATGACCATTGACATGTTTATTATTCTTAAATATCAAGTGCTGTAAAAAGTTTGTAACAGAAATACACTGAAAGTGGACACCTTAAGACATCTATACGAACTTCAATATTTTTAATACAAAATATAAAATCAAAGCCCTTTATCACAATTTACCAACACTTTTCTGAGATATTTGTGCAATTGCAACTTTTTTTTTTTTTTACATATAAAATGTTCTGCTTGAAATTTAAAGAAAAAAATAATTTGTGTGTGTGTGAACTGGTGACTGCAGTTTATATGGCTTCAACATCCATGATCTGCGTTATTTGCAGTGGATGTGAGGAAGGATTGGAGTCAGCAGTCCCATCCTGGCACTGATGCGCGTCACCGCTGATGATTGACAGCTCGACTCCGCCCCTCGCACGCGCGTCATCATGTGGTGAATCCCACCGGCGACGCCGGGCTCCGGAGCAAGAGCACAGCCAGAAGATGCTCGAGACTTTCAGAAGAGCAACATGTCAGTCTCTTTCCTGACGTTTTATCCCAGTAAATATCAGAAAAACTCATCTTAAGTCGCCGTTCAAAACAGTGTCTCCTCCAGCACGCTTCACAGGTGAGCTGCTCCTCTCCTCGGCGCGATGGACTGCACGCACACACCGGAGGAGCGAGCAGAGGTGAAGAAGCACCAGCACAAACACAGCCTCAAGCGCCGCTTCCAAGTGCTGGAGACGCTGGGCAGAGGCGCGTACGGGAAAGTCAAGCGAGCGGTGGAGAGGCGCTGCGGAAGGACGGTGAGCGACTTCAGCTGCTCTTATATCTGCACATGCATTGCAGTTGTGCTGCTTTGAATGCTTAGGCCTATATATATATATATATATATATATATATGACTAAATTAAATTGACTAAAATTAGACATTTGTATAATGTCTCCAGCACCATAAGCAACCAATTGGCCTATATAGTTTGTCTTCATAATATTGTTGAAATGTTAAAAAAACAAGTGATAGTCCAACTGAAAAAAGTGTGAAAATGCAGAATATCATCTATCTGTCTATCTGTCTATCTATCTATCTATCTATCTATCTATCTATCTATCTATCTATCTGTCTGTCTGTCTGTCTATCTATATAAGCAACCAATTGGCCTATATAGTTTGTCTTCATAATATTGTTGAAATGTTAAAAAAACAAGTGAACAAGTGATAGAAAAAAGTGTGAAAATGCAGAATATCATCTATCTGTCTATCTGTCTATCTATCTATCTATCTATCTATCTATCTATCAATCAATCAATCAATCAATCAATCAATCAATCTATCTATCTATCAATCTGTCAATCTGTCTATCCATCTATCCATCTATCTATCAATCTGTCTATCCATCTGTCTATCTGTCTATCTATCTATCTATCAATCTATCAATCTATCAATCTATCTGTCTCTCTATCTATCTATCTATCTGTCTCTGTATCTCTCTATCTATCTATCTATCTATCTATCTATCTATCTATCTATCTATCTATCTATCCATCCATCCATCCATCCATTCATCCATCCATTTT